CAATGTCGCAGTAGCATTGATGTTTACATGGTTCGGCGAAGATCCCTTCTTGGATGTAACCAAATCTACGAAGACCAATGTCGCAGTAGCATTGATGTTTACATGGTTCGGCGAAGATCCCTTCTTGGATGTAACCAAATCTACGAAGACCAATGTCGCAGTAGCATTGATGTTTACATGGTTCGGCGTAGATTCCTTCTTGGATGTAACCAAATCTACGAAGACCGATGTCGTAGTAGTATTGATATTTACATGGTTCGGTGTAGATCCATTTTGTATGTAGTCAAATCTATGAAGACCGTTGCAATAGTATTGATATTTACATGATTCGGCGTATATCCGTTTTGTATATAATCAAATCTATGAAGACCGTTGCAATAGTATTGATATTTACATGGTTCGGCGTAGATTCGTTTTTGTATGTAGTCAAATCTATGAAGGCCGTTGCAATAATATTGATATTTACATGGTTCGGCGTAGATTCCTTTTTGTATGTAGTCAAATCTATGAAGGCCGTTGCAATAATATTGATATTTACATGGCTCGGCGAAGTTCGGACTTTGTATAAGAACATCTGATCATTTTACTCTACATATGCTTCTTTCGATAAAAAAATGTCGTAATTGGATTAATAGAATTTTTTCTCTATCTATCTATCTTACTACGCTTCAAATCCTCCTAATAGAATAAATTCTTAGTCTTTCAATTATATAATATAAATTTTGCATTCATGTATATTAAAAAAAAACATATGAAGAATTTAACATACTCTTCAATCAAAATATAATTTACTTTAATTTGGAGTGTTTTTTTCCCACCTTTTGGTACCAGTGTGATGAACGTATTGCTCTTATAAATAACATCAAAGATATTGGATAATTTATCTTTCGGTGTTATTTAAGTACATAAATATTTGGAGAGGCTTTTTTGTACGTTCGTAAGCGCAAAGCTAAACAATGGGCTATCTACGCTCTGTCTATCGAGGGGAATCGAATCCCGAATTGTAGTGCTATAATCTTCAGTCAACGGAAAATCCGTGAGAAAAGCCTTTTGAGCATTTTCGGGATTTACTCACTTTGTGATATAAAGTGGATTTACCATGGCAGGCCTTTTTATTTTTTACACATCTGACGCTATCTAATATTTCATTTAAAAAAGAATAAAATTCTAAGCAAAATATTTTGTATGAGCTTATTTACTTTTTTAAATATTTATATCTTTGGTTCATTAATCCTTTCTCATTCTCATGGCGATTATGATAGTCTTTATTTTATTTTGATGAACCAATTACATTTCTAAGCACACGAATAATCTTTCTGTGAAACAATTGTTTCTTTGTTTGTTTTTAATTATGCACAAAGCTACACAAGGGCTATCTGTGCTCTGCCCACCACGGGTATCGAAACCCGGTTTCTAGCGTTGTAAGTCCGGAGGGCGTGTGAAACAAAAGTCAGTTGGGTGTTAAGCATTGTCAGGGTTTTATGTATATGAGTGGGCTGAGAATTCTTCTACAGTGGGTGTCTGTGACTTGTTGGCGATAAATTCGAACAATAAATGAACAGCACACAATCCACTTGTTTTAAAATAATATATTCAAAACAAGTCAAATGTGTGTACAAAAATTCTTAGCACTATAGAATATCATAGTTGTATCTAAAACTCTAAATAATTATCTTTTCTTGTCAAAAGTCCACACAAGCTGATTCAATTACTTTAGAATCCAATTGACAAGACGAATTACTTTACTCTACTCTTATCACAATAGTATCAGTGAATAATTCACTTATGTTACCCCGTGGGTTACCAAAGTTTTATTCTGAACTTCAACTAATTGTCTCCTTTTCGTCAAAGTCCACACAGACGGATTCAGTTACTTTAGAACACCGTTTGACAAGACAAATTATTCTCCTAATTTCTATTAGACTGTGAAACTTACTTTAAAATATCGCCCGTTATGGCTAATCACTCACACGCCAGCTAACTTCACGTTTTATTTCGCTAACTAATTTTCTGATTGAACTGCACTTTCACTTTTTCTTTACTTCTTTAGTTCTTGACTTACGCTCGCGGAGGTCTCGAAAAATACTGAAGATTCGAGTAATGTGACATAAACAATATTAGTAAAGCCTAGACAACAATGTATTTGCAAATACAGCGTACGACTTGTACAGAGTTTCCTAACAAAAATTTGTCAAAACTAACACTTTTAAAATAATCAATCTTCCACACTGCTGTCATGAAAACTAAACAATCATTAGATATTAACTCACAAAATAAATTAAATAATAATGCCTACATTAACAGTCTTTTATATTCAACAAGGATGAGAAGAGAGTTTTGTTAGGAAGCTAATAAGCTTAAATGTGCTTTGCTTCTAAAGCGACGTTTTTCTTAAATCCCACAACAAAAAGCAAGATTAGCATTTTGTATGTTTATAATGTAAAATCTTGTGTTTGTTTTTAATTTTAGGAAAAGTTATAAATTCCAGTTTTGATTTATTTTATTTTAATTTTCAAATAATCTGAGTATGTTTAGTTTGACTTGTTTATTATTTTATAATTAAATTGCATGCTTTAATTTTATTTCGTTTTTGTATTTCTTGTTTCGTTTATTTACTTTTAAATAATGTGTACTATATTTGGTTTGAACTTTACTTGTGCTCAGTCTGATTTAATATATTTAGTTTAATTAAAATGTTATATTTGTTCATTACACAAGGTAATAAAGATTGTTTAACTAGTATGTTTTTCAATGCTTCGCCAGCTTTCAGCGTTAAACCCGTGTATTTATTATTTTTCACTTTCACCTAAATATTACATCACCAAGAAATATATTTAATTCATATAATGAAAAATATAGATAATTAGGTATATTTATGAAAATATCTTCCATAGATAACTTACTTAAATACAACATCCAAATATCATTTTTAAGCTGTATCCCGGTGGATCAGCGGTAAATTTTCAGAACTTCGATTCTACAGTCAGGGATTCGATTTTCCGCAGTGGACATAGTGAAACAAGCCTAGCATGTAACTTTACGCCAAATACCCAACAACAACAATAGTCTTAAGCTACAAAATTAAAATAAAATAAATTGTATTAGCCTATGGACTGAAAAGTGTAATTAATGTGTTTTATAGATTGTGAAACTTTTCGAAATTTTTATTTCTTTTTTGTAGCAACTGATAATTTCAAGAAAACTTTGAGTTGTACATGATAATTTTATTAAATGCTAAGATTTTTGTAATACATAGCTGCTTTTGCAAGAGAAAGATTTAGCGTCGTGATACACCACACAGAAGCTTCAGAGAGGGCGGGATTAAAAGGTGAATATCATCTGGTCATCTTGGGTCACAGCGTTGGACTTGCCAAGACTGGACAAACTGACTGCTTCCTTTTATGGCCCATAGCTTATGTGCGGCAATATAAACATGAAACACTGGCCACCACAGCAAAGTCCAGAACCACACTCGTCACTCTTGAAGTTGGCAGGTAATATTCTCCTAAAATGATTCGTTTAGTTTATAAATTAAATTTCCTTATCGTCAGTCTTCTCAAAAGTCAATCCTACTTTGTGTTTGTTGTTGTTGTTGTTTTGTATATTCGTTTGTTAAATATATTATTCATCTAAACCTCTTTAGTATAGATTTTCAGGAAACTTAATAATGTTTTTCTCTTTTTTTTTTGAATAAATTATTAAATTTGTGCCTACTGTTTTTAGTTATGGGATAGCTACACACAAAACTTTTTTTTTCGTTATCTCGAAAGTCACAAGTCAAAATATTTTTTATTAAAGACACCAAGCTAACAAATTGATAGAGTACTTAGGTAAGAATTAGTCCTAGAGAGTTGGTGTTTTGAAATAGGCCAGTTCGGTATCTCAGGAGTATGAAACGTGTGTAAAGCGTTCTGGGACGTTATCAGGATAAACAAATGCTCAGTTTGAGAGAGGGTACTAGTATATGGAGAAGACGAGAGAAAGCTAAGCTCTCGAAATATTGTTCTTGTTTCTTCAATTATAACCGAATTAATATTATTCCAAATTTCTGATAAATATCTTAATCAATTTCGAATTAGTTAAAAATACATTAGTTAACTTGGAACAATTTAGTTTAAGAGAGCAATTTTATATAAATAATTATTAAAACTCCAATAGGCCTAACATTCGTGCCAAAATTCAAAATCAGGTAACTGCTTATTGGTTAATTCTAATACTTCGACACCTTTCGTCGCTTAAAAAGGTGGATCTGGAATGCTATTTTACATCACCTATCATTTTGAATCCTAAATAAACAAATTAATTAAGAGAAATGTGGAAAACAAAATGCAGTTTACTTGATTGTTGTCACAAATTTTAAGCCTGTTGGTTTCTAATGTTTCACCAACTTTCGACATTTAAACCTTAAAGTTAAACTGTAGTCTAGAACTTGTTTGTTTGACCTGTTACCACAATGTTAAGTTGATATATACATAGTAAACGAGTTGGCCCATCCTTAATTGTTGAGACATTAACGTACGAGCAGAAAGACGACAAAATAAAACAATGTTTATACTATTGCTCAAGATTACAACTGTGAAAAAAATACCTATCTTCAGTTGTTTTTTTAATTAAGTGAATTATAGTAAATTAATTAACTTAGTTTGTGCAACTGTATACTAAATTATTAATATTAAACTAGACCAAGGTTTGTTTTTTCTTATTATTATCATTAAAGGCACTATCCACTCTTATTTCCATTGGGTGGTAAAGAGAGAAAGTAATAAAGCAAGAAAATGGGACAATAACAATAATTAATTAGTTAATTAACTATATATAAATATAAAGTAGCAGCAGGCTTTCAATTATGGAATGGTACCTTTTACATCTAGGGAAGAGAACTTACAGGATAGGTAACTCCAATAGGCCTGATCTATCCACCTGGCTTAGGAAAAAAGAAAAAGTGGTTTCATGCAATCTAGTTATAACTCTAACTTAATGGCCACAATGGAACCTAGGTGCTCATGGTGACAATGGGAGAAGTATTGCTTCAACAGAGCAATAAGGTACTTCCCCAGCCTGTGCTAGCTGTTGACAAAATCATCAGCAGCAAGATGAACATTAAACTATGAGCTTACACAACTTTAACAATGCAATGACGAACGTTTCTCAAAGTAAACACTTAGAAGTGTGATAAAAGTAAGGAAAGATAAAATGGTAAATAAAATGGGGAGAATGAATAGTAAATGTGTTCCAGTAATATTTCGGAATGCCATAGCCACGAAATGAGAAGAGTGACGATTGGAAAACTATTGAATTAGAACAATGGCATAATGGTGCAAGAAACATAGCTACGGGAGAAACCATCATGTGGCAGAGACACCAAAATATATATTGAATCATCAGCAGTGGAGGTAAATACCAAAAGAGAGCATGCATCTCATCCTTTTAGATGCTAACACTGATGGCTCTCAGGTATCTATTTCTAAAACACTACAAGCAATGACTGGCAGTCAGTCTGAAGACTGCTAGCAAGAAATTTATCCTGGTCAATATTTATATCCCATTGAGGGAGGAAAATAAAGGGACTAATTTGTTGAATCCTCTCATAAATATGAACACAGACGAATAGATGCAATAATTTTGACTGTCTGAGTCACTAACATGCACTGAACTGAATCATTCACTGAATACTCATTAACTAATTTAACTCACACGTTCATTTTAATATTGTACTAGGAAGTCCTAGACAGATGTAGTCCGTTAATAACGCCTTTTAAGCACTTCTTCCCTTATCATCGAATTCGTTTTATTAAGATATTTACTGAACCTCCTAATTGCTTTGAGGAACAATCCATGAACCTGAAAATACTATACATACAAATAACAATAGTCTGGGTGGTACCTACAAGAATTCACTATTCCTGATTATGGAACATCCGCACTCATAACTCTGAATTGGCTTATATCGTTAGGCCTAAACAGAATGCAACGTGTTATGTTATAATAATATGATAATATTTGATTGTATGTTTGTTCTGATAACAAAGCCACATTAGGCCATCCGCTGTGTCTACTGAGGGAAATCTAACCACTTATTTTACCGTTGTAATTCCGTAGGCTGACCGCTGTCCCACCAGGGAACAATTTGCTAATGTATACAGCACCTAGTGACGAATGCAGTTCCAAAAAAAAATCACTTTTTTTTAATACTAGTTGTTTATCTGAATTAGCCAGAATGAAGATGTAGGCCCATTCTAGTTGTTGAACGATTGTGACCCTTCGTTGTAATAGCGATGTTATTATAAATATTTTATCCGAATATTTTAAGTAGGATATATTGAGCCCAAACATAAAGCTTATTAGGTCTTTAAAAAAAAAAGGCAATAGCTCGAAGCGTCATCCTCTACCAAGAAAACAATTCGCCAAAGGTTTGGGTGACTTATAACGTATTTATCCACCAACCATTGAGCTAAACCAACCATTGGAAGTTTGAGCATTGAATTGTAGATAGATAGTTACTGAGTATAACGACTTTAAAGTTGCAACAGACAATGTTCTGAATATTTCATCCTATAGCATCAGACGATGTATAAAGTGAGAACAAACTCTCAGGTGCCCATAATGTTTTCTAGCAGGGATGTTTTGGGTATGATGATTTCATTTGAGTGATTTTTTAATTTTTTTCCTTGTAATATTGGTTCGTTTGATAAAGCTCAAAATTCCAAATGGTTTGTTTGTTTGTAATTAAGCACAAAGCTACACAATGGGCTATCTGTGCTCTCCCCACCACGGGCATCGAAACCCGGATTCTAGTGTTGTAAGTCCTTAGACATACCGCTGTGCCACCGGGAAGCAGTTAAAATGGGTAAAAAGGGAGACAAAAACCGCGATTTAAGTATTTAGCAGTATCTAGGGAAATCTGGATAGAAGATGTTATTTAATTTCTGTAATGTATATCAGAGTCCAAAAGACTTCTTAATCATAGAAATAAATTGTAA